TGTAAATTTATTTTAACAAATAATTTGCAAATTCTGAAACAAAGTGATACAAAAATCATATACCAATAAAATGCCTTTTAAGTTTATGCTTTTTGTTGTTTAACTGAGTAAACCTCTCAAGTCTTTTGCTAGTCCACTTTTTCCTGGCGATTACTTGCACAGGTACTCTTTATCAAATTATAAATGAAGAGGCCATATTTATTCAAATGCTTACTGATAACACTTATTGATTACTATGAGGGCCTTAATACTCTCTAGAATATCCTGTATTTTTATGGACTGGAAGTAGTTGCAGTCCTTAAATACTTTCCAGTTATTTTTGTTTCTTACAGAAAGCATCTCTGTTAAAAAAAAAAAAAAAAAAAAGGATCTAATTTGTTTTTCTGTCATTAGGTAAGCCTGACTGTAAGCGGAACATGTTCTAAAAGCTTGCATCACCTTGTATTACTGATGATCAGATACCAGAATTTGATGGATTAATCAGTCAGATACAACAAAGAATTCACATTAAAAAATAAGGATAAAATAAAAGATAAGGACTCCTTAAACTCAGATACGAGCTACATAATGAATAGGTTCAAGTTAGTGCCTTCAGAACAGACAACAGTTATGTGGCTTTAAGGTAAACTAAACAGGTTTGTTAAACTGGTTATTTAACAGGAGATATGAAGAAAACTTGGATATAAATACCTTCTAGAAAACAAGTTGCAAAAAGACACAAGAAAAGACAGTTGCATGGTCTTAAAATTAATGTGAGGCAGAAAAATGGACATTTTCTCCTTTCTTTAGAGATATCAGAAACTGCCTCTTACAGGAGCATTCTCCAGAATTGTAGATCGAAGTTGTATATTGCTGTGAAGATGCAAGACACAAGTAACAGAGATAGAATCTCTGCTATCCTTGATGCTGAGACTGAGCAAGAGGAAAGCGGGTAATGCAGGGGAGGGAGCACTGGAGCATACATGTAAGGTGCTATTTATGTTTCTGTTGTGGTATAAGGGGCTTTTTTATATATGTAATCTTTTGCAAAATTTGACTAATATATCATACTTATCACCTATTTCATTTTTATCAGATTTATTTATTCCTAATAAAAAAAATAAAGCCACAAATAATTGTAGTAATATTGTTTTTATTTGTGAATTTTATGCAGGCAGTCCTGTACAGGTGACTCACTTCTGTTTCCTCTTGTCTCAAAGAACCTACTGCTCAAGACTACCAAAAGAACACAGCCTAATGGCTACTTTTCTACAAGTATATTGTGGTAAGGGCTTAGTTTGAATAGTATATTTTTAATATTAAAAAGGCATAGAAATTTTAGAAAAAAATATAGAATTTATAGAAAATAAATTGAGAAAATATAGGTGTGTGATAGAAAGCAATAAAGTGATTTTGAAATATTTGGGATGGAACAATTTTGCTCACAGAGGGAGCCTGAAATTTCTTTGTTTCTCAAAACTCAAATAAAAGCAAAGGTTATTTTTTCCCCCTATCTCTAATTGTCTGTCTCTTAAGGAGGAGAAAATTGTGTAGCTGGGTTTCTAGTTATTACTTTTTTTTTTTTAGATCAAGAAAAGAAATTGATTAAAAAACAGTGAGGACTGAATCTATACCAAACCTGAAAGAAGAAATACCTATACCAAAGAACGTGTTGGATCATTTTTGCTTTTGTGTAACTCTCAAAACAAACTAACGCTGAGAAGACTGAAAGCTAAAGCAGTTAGTGTCTTTTTAAATAGGTATTGGTGTTCAGGTTATTTAGTTGGTCATGGACTGGAGAGGGTTTTTTGGTGATAAAGTTCTTTGTGGTAATGCTACAATCTATGGCTAATAATGAAGAAAAATTTCTACTGAAAGAGAGTTATAACCAAATGAATGATATTTTTTAAATTTCATCTTCACATTTTATAGTCCAGTGCAAGAATTGGTTAGAATTATCCAGTCTTATGGCTTCTGCCTCAAATAGTGACCATGATTATTGCTGTCTCTTTCCATTTGGTTGAAGGAAAAGATTCTGATAGAGTTGTTCTCCTTTTATCTTCTCCAAGGGCTCTTTGAAGAAATAGAATGTTAAAAATGTTTCATGATTGGAAGCATGAAAAGGGGTGAGTCATAACCCCTCTGCACATCCTGATAAAGATTACTTTTCTGTCTGGACTTTGATAATTTGCACTAAAATTCTTCAACAAGAGAATTTTTCAGCATGGGCAAAAGTAATGAGTAAAAAACTTAGTGATGTAATACTGTTTCTAGTTTAATTAGTCAATATTGCTCTTTAATATCATTTTGAAGCTCAGTTATCTTGCAGAGAAACATTGCTACATTAAAGCAAGTAATTGTCACTTTGCATTCAAAACTAGCTCATTTTTCATTGTGGAGCATCACAAATACTCCTTTGTTCTTTTTGTTCACAGTTTGTAACTTTTATTAAAGGGAGTCCAGGAGTTTGAGAGTCCAGTCACCTTCAGCAAATGGGGAAGACAGTAAGAGTTAAATGCTTGGGGGTTTTGCAGAAGTGCCTTGTGATATCTTCTATTCTCAGCATAGGTTAAAATTAGAACTAGACTGACGTTGCATTGCAGTCTGAGTGAGAGTTCTAAATGGTTTTGGTAGTACACACAAGATTTCTAATTTATCTCTTGCTCTTGCCCAGAAAGCAATGAGTCACAGAAGATCATTGAAAACACCAAATAATTGAGGTAAGTTGTTGTTAAACTCTTTCAGATGCTTGGAGGTGAAGTTGTTGGGAGATCTGATTACATGGGAGTAATTTGCAGTTGTTTTACAGCCATGCTTGGGCATTCACTTCTGATTTGTTGGCCATAATGGCATGACTATTATGAGTTTTTTTTTCTCCTGACAAATAATAAGATCTAAGAACAAGAAGTTTTTAATGGTAGGCCTGTTATTATATGATTAGATCTTATTGAAAACAATGTAATATACTTAGGCCCTCTTTCATATCTCCTGGTTCTAAAGCAATGTTTATTGAATAATATGCTTTCCGCAGCAAAAGAGAGTTGCTCAGTGTAAGCTTTACTAAAAATAAGTATTGTTTCAACTGCAGAGTCTGATACAGGTTTTAGTAGTACAAGTATTAAAAAATATATCTTTAGAAATTTGTACCATAGTGTCTCTCTTCTCCGCAATTTATATAAGAAGATTTCTAGTTTTCTACCTAGCTCAAAAAATGTCTCTAAACAACGTGAAATGATAGATCAGGTAAATCACTTAGTCATAGTAGAAGTTTAATTCTGAAAAATAAGGAAATTAAATTGTAGCCACTAATCAGAGCAAAAAACCACATACAATGTCTGAGTCATTACTGTTGCATATTGGAATCAGGAATGGGAAAGGTAATTACTATGAGGACCAGTGAAAGAGAAGTTAATCCTTCAAACTAGTATGTGTGATCACATTTATGTGGGGGAGGGAAAACTCCCTTTACAGGGAAAAAAATCAGTCCCTCTTTAGGAACCCAAATGCCAGACTGCATTGTGCCACACTCTGGTTGCCATGTGCGTCACCTGTCAAATCCTGCCACTTTTCCTGAACAAACAGAACATATTAAGAATCCTTAATATTAACGTACTGGACCAGATTCTTCTTTTTTCAAGCATTATAATGTGATTTTTTGCTGTTGTTACAACAGGAAGCAATCTTGACAATTTAGATTTAGTATTATTTGCTTACCTATAAGTTTTTAATTAAGTGATATCAGTATAATCAGGCTTTACAAATAACTATGTTAGCAAAAGACATGGTAAATATAAAATAGAATGATTGACAGTTTGAACACAAAAATGTTCACAAGGCAATTGTGGCTTATCCATGCCACATGAGATTATAATGGAATGAATATGAGAGAAAATATTTCTTTAAAAGACATACCTGCAGCAATTATTGTAGGTAAATATATGTATGAAAAGACCTGAAATTCCACTTTTGTTGTTTTCCACCTGCTTGTTTGGAAGAAAGCTATCCTCACTTCTTCAGTTTGAATGGATATGTAATATCTTTTCTTACTTGTCCCTGCAAGTGTTATAAAAAGTTTGAAAGGGATCATCAGTGTTCAGAGAACACTGCTGTTGGCATGAAGTTTAGCCCACTAAGCTTATCTGAATATCAGTGTCTTGATTCCAGTTTATTTCCAAAGAAACCCTTCCCCAAATGGCTACAATAATGTCAGTAAGAATGCTTTTTAGAGGGATGCACTGGTTGGAACGAGTGAGTATCCTACTTTGCTGCTCTTCAGAAATATATGCATTAATTATCTCACTAAGGAATAGATGACTTCAAGACTTTAGGCTGAATGTTTTGTGGTTTTTTTTTTTTTTTTTTTAATGTGGATCCTGACACTTTGCTATCAGGGCTACAAGAAGATTTGAAGAGAGATCTGAAGAATTTTAAGCCTTTTCTTAAAGTAATGCATTGCTAACTACAAAGTATACTATGATGAGTTAAGCTATGAAGAAAATGAATGCAAATAAAGCACACTAATTTATTTCCAGCAACAGTTCAGTTTCTTTAAAGTGCAAAACTCTTTTAGTTACAACTATTTATACCAGCTGGCTGGCAGGATGCAGCTACCAGGATTTAACAGCCTTAAATTGCAGGTAACAGCTTAATTTCTTCCTGGGAAGGGAATGAATGCTCATATCTACATTTAATAATTATGGTCTCTTCTCAGCCTACCATTGGAAGAAACTGAGAGAAGCAGTTGTTCACTGACTAAGAATGCAGAGAGATTGCAAGAATACAATTTCTTCTTGTAAGAAAATTTAACTACATGCAATTATGTATTTTTATAAAGAGAAAACAGTTGGTAAAATTCTGTCAGTTCTATACATTAACTAAATTTAATAATATAATCAAGTGGGCATTCCAGTATTTTAGTTTCCACATCACTGTCCCTATGTGGTAGCTGATACATGCGCTGATGCATTGAGCCTGAAATTCACAGTCAGATTCCTGTAACTGAATCTGAACATGTAAGAACCATGACTGAAACTGCAGTTTGCATTGGAACATTCACTGCTGTGAAGACACTTTGGGAAGTGAGAATACAAAAGATAAATGAAGAGCTACAGAAAGAAAAGGAATTCAAACAGAGGTCTGCAGGAAGGTAGGTAAATTGTAGATCTTTAAGTATGTGAAAAGCTAGACCATGTGTTACATTTCAGACTATAATGGTCTTCTCAAATTCATCCAGAGTCCAGTTCTTTAGTCATTACTCCAGCAGAATTCTCAGGGGTTAGAATCTAGCAATATGGTCAGGTCAAACCAAGAATTGTCTTCTTTAATAAAAATATTAGTATATATATTAAATCCCTTAAATTCAGATACTAAAATCCTCTCCTGTGTGGATATTGTAATCAGTGGAGATTTAATTTTTTATGCTTTCCTCTCAATAGAAACATTGAAGGATGGCTTGGTCTTCTGTCTGCCCAGCAATTTCATGAAATGTGAAGAAATTTAGCATTCTATTTTTGGAACTCTTCCTAATTTGTCAGATGTGCTTGAAATGGAATAACAAATTCAAAAGTTACTAGTGGAAAATACAAGCAGAAAGAAAGAGAATTAGCCTGATTTTCCTAATTCTTGTTTAAGTCCCCTCTGGAAATCAAGCTAAAACAATTTATAGCTGATTGGCCTTTTTTGATTGCACTTACAGTTGGTAGGACTGAAGGCTTTGTTTTTAGTGACTGTTTCAAAATTAATGGCTTTGGAACTTGAATTTCACATGACTGTACATTCTGTTTCCCTGCTGCAACATGATGAATTGAAGTTATGTCTTCCATCTGACTGTAAATTTGAAGAACTTTAAAATACAATTCCTATAAATTACCTCAGCCAAACACTGCTGTATGTTCTTGTCTTCCCTCAAATTGATAGTATATTTAGAATCACAGAATCATAGAATGGTTTGGGTTGGAAAGGACCTTAAAGATGATCTGGTTCCAACCCCCCTGCCATGGGCAGGGACACCTCCCACTAGCCCAGGTTGCTCAAAGCCTCATCCAGCCTGGCCTTGAACACCTCCAGGGATGGGGCATCCACAGCTTCTCTGGGCAACCTGTTCCAGTGCCTCACCACCCTCACAGTGAAAAATTTCTTCCTAATATCTAATCTACATCTGCCCTCTTTCAGTTTATAAGTGTTACCCCTTTTCCTGTCACTGTACTCCCTGATGTTTCCCCATCCCTCTTATAGACCCCCTTTAGGTACTGGAAGGCTGCTGTTAGCATCCAGATATAACCCACGTTGTCTGACACCCAAAAAGGCTACTTTCTCCTTGTTCCAGAAGATAGAATGGATCGTAATTATTGCCTGTATGCATTGTTGCACCACTGACAGATCTTTTTTCCCTTGTAGGCTATTACTAGTCTGGGAGGAGAGAGCCGCTTTAGCAAAGCTGAAAGAAAAAGTTATCAATGAAGATGGAAAAGCAATTTTAAGGATAGAGGAAGAAGAATGGAAGGTAATGTTCATAGGAATTAATGTTGTTTGGGTGGAATGCATTATAAAAGTACTGTTTACAACTTTACACTCACCATTGTACTATTTTTAATCCATGAAGTGCTCAGTGTGTTTTCCTAACGAGTTGAGACATACTGTTGTGAGATTGTGAAAGCAAGGTGATTTTTTTTTTTAGTCTTGAATATTAAGCATTACTTTGCAAAAGTATAGTCCAAAAGGCTTTTCTGCATTAGAAATCATTTACATTGAAAATGAGGAATTTAATTATGTAAATCCTCATTTAACATTAATACACCAGAACTAGTGAATTATATAAAGGTGAAAACTCTCTGTGTTCAGGTGCATGAAAATATTTCTTACTGTTGTTTACTTGGCCTTTCTAAGAGTGAAAATGAGCCAGTAGATTCCCAGAATACTATTTATTATTCTTGTTTCTAGTGCATGGAGGGAAGCAGCTAACTGTAGAATCAACAGTGGAGTAGAAGCTAACAGTCTGTTCTGAGCCACACAGAGATGCAGATGCCAGTTCCTATGAAGTGGTGAGAATTAGGCCATGTTGAGGCCAGCGAGAGAGTGACAGCCACACCCAGCAATACTCTGGCGGTCCACAGGCCAGTGTTGCTTGTTCAGAACTCATAGCATACAGACACTGTAGTTCAGCTCTTCTGCTCTCAGCTGCTCACTGTTTTTCTTAACAGACTAGGAAAAATAACTTATATCACCATTTAAATGCAAAAAGCTTTTCAGAGCAGTTTCGTCAGTTGTATTGGCTTTGTTTGAAAAAAAAAAAAAACAAAACTAACAAAAGCAAGCCTGAGGCTTTTCAAGCAATGACAGTAGTGCAGATATCTAAATCCTGGGAGCAAAAAGTGGGCAGGTTAAATCTGATTGTGGTGTTCATTTTGGGGTGTTACAGTATCATTGGGAAGAAGGAAAGATTTCTTTTTTCCTTTTTTTTTTTTTTTAATATCACAAGGCTGCTACTGTTTCAAATAAAACTTCTACCTAAGCCTGTGTTTTTGTTGTATATGAAGCTGAATGTCTTCTGGTTCATGTTTCTTGTCTTAGACACTACCTTCATGCTTACTGAAACTAGTCCATCTCCAGGAATGGCAGCTTCATAGAACTAGCTTGCAGAAAATTCCTCAGTTCATTGGAAGATTTCACAATCTTGTTGTTCTGGATCTCTCCCGGAATTCAATTGAAAGTGTACCTAAAGAAATTGGTGAGCTGTGCTTTCTTTTATTTGAAGCTGCTTTTGTAAGAAAATTAATTTTACACAAACTTGCCATTTTTGTGCACTTTACCTGTCTAACAGTCCTATTGGGTAGTTATAAAACAGACAATTTAAATCCGACAACGAGATAGAGATCTTAAACCATGAATTCCCTCTAAATTAAAAAAAAAAGGAAAAGGCCAGTTGGAGGAGACATATCTTTATGAAAGCTCCTCATGAGAAAAATGCTTGTAAGCACAGCAGATACTAGACATCAGAATGCAGCTAAAAAAGTGATACTGAAAAACAGGCTTCATCTGAGTCCACAGCATGTTAATGAGGGCTTTTTGAGTTTTTGGGGATTTTTTTGTAGCACTCAAAGTGCAGTTCTGTACTAAAGAGTCTTGAAGTTTTACTATTTGAATTTCAGTTAATCTTTTTTTTTAGTGAGAACACAGAGCTCTTACAGTGTAAGAATAACACAAAACAAGTAATATTGTATTTCAAATAGAATGAATGTGAACATTTATAATTTCTCATTTTTGCTCTCTGCAGGCCAGCTGACTAACCTCCAAGAACTGCTTCTCAGTTACAATAGAATAAAGTCTGTTCCTAAGGAAATAAGTAACTGTGTCAGTCTGGAAAGATTGGAACTGGCTGTCAACAGGAGTATCTGTGATCTTCCTCCTCAGGTTTTGACTTTATTTAGTTTTATTTAATGCACATTTTGAATTTATCAAAAACTAATTATCATTAAACATTGCACTCCATGTTTTCAGATTTGCTTTGATATTCTGATTTCACAACAACCTCACCAAAACACATACGTGAATAAGATTTATACGACTAGTCAAACTGAAGCCACATGAGAAGGACATACATACACCTGAGTAAGCTGAAGGAGCCAATCTTTATTCTGTCCAGATAAATGACTTGGTGGTGCACATAGGACAGTGATACACTTGATGTCAATTTGTTTAGGCTGAAGGTCTTCATTGATTTCCCCACTGAGGATCTGATGCCTTAGCACAAAGAAGTTCCCTTTTATGGTTAAGAATACAAATTCATACCATATGCCAGGACACAATTGTAAGCATCTTTACCAGAGCTGCTAGCTATGGAAAGGGTTTGTGTGATTTATACAGCTGCCTGTGCACAAAGAGTTGAATGAATGTTGTTCTGAGATGTTGAAAGCAATTGAGAGAGAATAAAAAAAATGCTCACCAAGTTTAATTTGGACTGACCTAAATGTGAAAGAGACTTGCTTCACTAAATATTAGCCTCTTAGACAGAGGTGCCAAGTATGTAACTGTATTTAATTAATTTATTTATAAAAACAGTAGTTGGGAATAGCTGACAGCAATCAGAGCCTTGCAAAATTGGAGTGAGTCCAAACAGTAATACCTAACATCAAATCTCCAAATTAAAATATACACTATTAATCAGAATCCAGAATTTACAACATCTGTGTGGATGCCGGTTACATGGTGTAATGTAGAGTGATAGCTGTTAAATAAACAGCTCATAGCAAATATGTGGTTCTGTCCTACCGAGACCACGGTGCTGTGAACACTGAAGCTTTTGTTATGTGTACTTGAGTGGCATTCAGTGTTTACACAGTTGGACCAGATTTGCAATAAAGCATCTTTGCATCACCTGAACATTGTAAAAGCACCTGAAGGCATGATTCACCAAAGGACTTAGGTGTTGCCATAAAATTGCTTTTCTTCTCAAGGCTTGGGGTATGTCTGCGCTGTAGTCGTGGCGTTCAGCTTCTCAGCAGCTAGGGCACTCACTACCAGGTGGGAAATAAAGTTTCAGTTTGAAACCTATCTGCCTTCCAGGTGAGAGCTGTAATATCAGCTTATGTAACTCAGAAACCATTCTGTGTTTACTAATTCCAAAATGTGCTGTAATGTTTTTGTCTTTTTTTTTTTTTTTCAGTCAACATTATTACAGCACTACTGTAATGGAACAGCTATACAAACTTGCATTAAATCTCCCTTCCTTTTCAGCTCAGTGATTTAAAGAAGCTTTCACACATAGATTTGTGCATGAATCAGTTTACTACCATCCCTTCAGCTCTTCTCAACATGCCAAGTCTAGAATGGTTAGATATGGGGGGAAATAAGCTCCAGGAGCTTCCTGATGCAATTGACAGGTAAATAAAGCTGAGAGCTCACATCTTCGTTTCAATTCCATTGCATTGAAATTCTAATTATTATATCCTACTTCAAAATATTATTTTAATGTTAACCTTACTGCTAACTTAAGATCTATGAGCCCTAATGTGATATTTTGCATGAGTGGGAATAATCAATTCAGTAAAAAATAAATTCAGTATCAACTATGATGTTAAACATTTCTTGCCAATGACATTTTAAACTAGAGGTTAGGTGATTATCTTGGATATGGGGTTTTCTTGGAGAATTGTTGTAGTTTTTTATGCAAATCCTCTATGTGGCTGTAAAAATTAATCAATTACTTTATATTACATTGATAAGATTAATTTTCTAGGTCTTGATTGATTGTGCAAATACCTATTTTACAGAATGGAAAACCTCCACACTTTGTGGCTCCAAAGGAATGAGATAAACTATTTGCCAGAAACCATTAGTAATATGAAAAATCTTAGTACTCTTGTTCTTAGCAACAACAAACTTAAGGATATCCCAGCTTGTATGAAGGACATGACAAATCTGAGGTAAGAAAAAGTAACAGAAGTATGAATAAAAATACTAGAAGTTTTAAATCCTCCCTTGAGTTGTATATCATAGAGTGATGCTAAGGAAGTGGAAAAGGCACGCCCACAGTGATACAGGTGGACACAATGCTGTATAAATCAGCATAATTACACAGATTCACAACAGTTGAGGATCTGGTCAAGAAAGCTTTGTGTAGCACAACTATGTAAAGAAGTAAGCCATGATAGTTACAGTCCCAAATGTAAACGGAGACTGTGTAATACATTTTCTCATTTCTGAGAGGTCCAAATGCCCAGATCTAATTGACATTTAGATCCTCTCTAAAGCCAAGAACTAGGAGAAAAAATGTGACAAGCATAAAAAATGACAAAAAGTAGAACTCTGGCACTGAAAAGTCAAGCATTTGTAATTAAACAAAAAGGATTAGGTATAAGCATATGGATGAAACTCTCCTGTACTTGATTTGAAAAATAAAAGAGAATTAATGTAAATTTTTAATTGGTAGAATTGGAAATACTATTTTGTATACTGTGACAGAAACTTTCCTGTTGTTTGTATTCTATTTTGTTATTCTAGTCTAAATAAATCGTGTCTAACCCAGTAAGACAATTCCTGTCTCTGGACAAAATCTATCGCAAAAGTAACCTTTTCTGGTGATCTTTCTGGTTGAAGATTTGTCAACTTCAGAGACAACCCACTGGAGTTAGAGGTAACACTCCCTCCATGTGAGAATACAGAAGAGGAGGAGCAACAGGAAATGTTCGGCATTGAATTCATGCACATGTATATCCAGGAGGCACTCAAGAAAAGAGGTATGGCTTTTTTATTAATTCTAATCCCTCTGGAATACAGTGAGGAAGGGAAGGATAAAGTGGATAAATGAAAGCTAGGACATGTATACAAATGAAACATGAATAATCTTAATAAATTATTGATGTTTTCCAAAAATCTGTGAACAGACTTTTACTGAGGTTAGGGGTGTTTTTATCAAGAGTTAGCACAGTAGGTCTTCACATGAACAGCATATATTCTAGTAGGAACATACTGGAACCATGGAACACTGCAATAAATGTACCTGAGTTACCTACAGCCTGGATAACTAAAAATTAATATTTGCAATATATTTGCAATTTAATCAGACTTACATAGTGTAGGTCTTCTAGCACTATTTGTTTCATGAAGCTCAACTTCCTCTATTTTTGGATGTTGTCCAGATGGGGACTGACAAAGAAGGATGCCAGGGAGAGATACCTGTGTTCCAAACATACAACATTTTTTAGCAATGAAGTGTCAACACCTGATAAACAGATGTTTCTTACAACTTGATTTCCCTGACAGAAAATCCAATCACCTTAACAAAACACCCCCACAATTTCATCCTATTTCTAAATCACTATGACAAAAAAAAAAAAAAAATGCTGTTAGTCTCAAGAAGGTAACAGATTAAAGGTTGTAGTAAGGGTGTAAAATAAGCACTTTTGGGCAGGTGGCACCTGTTACTTGCAGAGACAACTTTATTCATTACAGATATAAAATGTTCTCTCTGATCTTCACTCTATATATCATGAAGGCTTAAAAAATGAATGACCGAAATGTTCTTGATTTAGAATTCTAAGCCATCTTTTTTCTTATCAATATTTCATGAATGAATAATCAAATTAGCAAAAATATATCAAGATGATTTACAAATAAGTTTTCTTCCCTAGCAGCATGGGCTGATGAAAGTACCTAGGCCTACTTAAATAATTTAAGAGGAAATACAAAGCTATCCTGAACTTCGAAGTGAAAACAAAGGATGCTAATTTATCTTATTTTAACCCATTGTCTTTCAGGAAATCTGGAAAGTTGTACTTCTGGTCCTTCTCCTATCGTAAATGTTAATGAATAAAGAACCTAACTGTGAATGGAAGAAAATATCAAGTATTCTTCTTCCTAACAAAGAGGCACACAACAAGTTTCAAATATTCTTAGGGATTTTATTTTTCCACTGATGAGAAATGGTTTGTGTATTTGTAATTCCCTGTGAAACTGGAAAATATAAGACCTTTTCCTGGTTAAAGGAAAGACTAAAACAGTTGTTTTGTAAGCAATGAAGTAACTTTTTTTAAAAATCCAGATAATTTTTACACTATTTTTTCCCACCAATTCCAAATATATCTCCTGTCATGTAGTTGGCTCTGGTATCAAAGATGGACTTGGGACAGCTGTCAACAGCACATTCTCCAAGGACACAGCAGACTCTGTATAATACTGTAGTGCAGCCTTGTATCCTCGTTGTTGCAAATACTCAATCCGTCCATGATCAATCAGCAGTTTACAGAGGGAACCTATCTCCTTTCGTTCTTCAACAGTAAGTATCCTAGTTTCATAAAAAGGAGGAAGACAGCAAACACGTGTTAGAAGAATAGTTTTGTTAATTAACATTAGTAGTTAAGCTTAGAAAAACTACTGTAATCACTGTAAGTTCATGTCAATTCAGGCAAGCATGACTTTACATATTTTGAAACGTGTCCACGAAAACTGTATTTTTAAAGTAGAATATTTCTATACATTTAGTATTAAAATGTTAGCTAAATAAGTCATTTTGAGGACCCAAAACAATTTCATATATGACTATACATAATTTTGCTTTTCTGCAGGAGTCCATTTGCTAGAAAAAAAGTTACATACCCTTGTAAAGTATCAGAACCATTCTCTGTCTTGCTGAATGTTTGCTCATGTTCTTCTGTGTCATTACTTTGATCTTCACTTTCTTCATTTGTAGAGGCTTTGGATGTGGTTTCTCGCATGCCACAAGTGGCCCAGCTACTCATTCTCTGAAAATAATTAAATTCTACTGGTCCAAGTCCTACTGATTTAAAGAACTCTCTGCCTACATAATGTGTCCAGTCACACTTGTGATGGCAGCACAGTGCAATAACAATTCCAGCTACAAGCTTACAGTCATCTTTGTTGCTTTCATTATCAGATTTGTTGGAAGCCACCTCTGTGTTATCATTCCTAGAGCGTTTTGGTGCAGGCTCTTCATTTTCTCCATCACAGCAAGTCGTATAACTTTCAACCAAGCACCTCAAGGCAAGATCTGGGAAAAAACAGATACATTCCCCACAAAAAACAGAGATTAACACCCTGCTATTATTTATACAAGCTATCATGGTTGGGAATGCACTTCCCCCAGAGATTAAAAGTGTACCTCACAAAAAACAATTTTAAGTATAACTAAAAACTACAAGTGTGATTTGAAAAGATGAAAACCCTAAATGCTAAATTAATATTATGAGACCTCTGAAGCTACTCAAGGCTTACCCTCTTGAATATTTGTTCTACACAAGGGAATTTTAAATACCTTGCTTAACAAGCTGACACAGAGTCATAGAATGGTTTGGGTTGGAAAGGACCTTACAGCTTGAGTTCCAACCCCCCTGCCATGGGCAGGGACACCTCCCACTAGCCCAGGTTGCTCAAAGCCTCATCCAGCCTGGCCTTGAACCCCTCCAGGGATGGGGCATCCACAGCTTCTCTGGGCAACCTGTTCCAGTGCCTCACCCCCCTCACAGGAAAAAAAATCTTCCTAATATCTAATCTAAATCTACCCTCTTTCAGTTTAAAACTGTTACCCCACGTCCTATCACTACACTCCCTGATAAAGAGTGTTGTCTCTCTAACAGGTATCAGGATGGTTAAAGTCCTCCATGAGGACCAGGGCTTGTGAATGTGAGGCTGCTCCTGTCTGTCTATAGACAGCCTCATCCACTCAGTCCTCCTGCTTGGGTGGCCTGTAGCAGACCCCCACTATAATGTCACCTGTCCCTGCCCTCTGCCCTCTCTTTAGTCAATATTGTAGGAGGATCTGCTCCTGTAAAACATGTATTTGCTCTAGAAGTTTGATATATAGGACACAATCTATTTAATATGTACAGGTACTTCTTAAATGCTTAAGTGTGTCAGCTTTGTAACAGTACCTATACAGGTGTCATATTTGAGATGTCTTTCTCTACTTAATAGCATATAACATTAGAAAAAGCGTATTAGTTGAAAATTATCAGGACAGAAACATGTTGTTCTCAGTTGGTTGCTTGGGAGACACATTCAGACAGCCAATACAAATTTAAAAATAAACATATTTCAGAGAAGAGGCAACAGCGTAAAAAAAACCCCACCACTTTCAACAGTTTATACATACATGAGCCATGCTGCCACACACTATTCTTTGTACTACTCTATAGAAAACAAGACAGGTTTTAGTTCTGTCTTAAGTAGCCTTGCATCTATTATCCATTTACTATTCCACTGAAATCAACAGATATTTAGAATATAATTGCAACATGCACCAACAAAGGGTTAGAGGGCCAGAAAAGCTCAAAATGACAGTTTGGAAGATCAGTCTGTTCAGATTGTAAGATTCAGTATCCTAACTTTCTGCAGTTAACACATAATTCATACCTGTTGCAGCACCACACAAATGCTTCCCAATTCCTACCACTGGTAGTTTTTTCTTCTCCAAAACAGGCACCTTATCTAGAGGGGAAAGAAAAAAAAAACATTTCAAAGGCTTTATGTTATTTTTGAAGATAAAAAACACAATCCACAACAACCCTAAACCTCTATTATTATAGTTGGGGCAGTATTTTTTCTGGATAATAAAATTTCATCACACTTTAAAAAAGAAATAAATGTTTACCACTACTAAAAACACAGTGGTTTGTACACACCATTATAAGCTATTAAAAGGAAAGTTTCTTTTTCTAAAACAAAGGAAGAGAATTGGATGCTGTGGCTGAAAAGCATATTCTTCTTTTATTTAAACAACTCAACTTTGTCCAAAGTCAAAGAGTATACTTTAATGCTGTTATGAAGCAATATGATTTTGTTTCTGAGCAGCAACACTCCCATATAGCAGTAAAATGATTACCAGTGAACACTGGACTGATTTTCCTTAACAGAATGATCTGTGGCCCAGAGATTAGCTCCAGCTAAGCAGTAATACTTTGCCTTTTATTGAAATTAAGTAGTAGAAATACAAGATTTTGTGTTTATGCTAAGATAGTCACATGTATCTATTTAACCATTTCAGCCTTTCTATACTACCTCTGAAATGTAAATGTGACATTAATGCATGTCCTGATGACAGGTCTTCCCACAAATTCTACAGTACTGAGAAGATATTGATATATGATATCAATGATATGCATGACTTGCTTCATTCCACACACCTGAAACAAACAATGCAAAGGTGTTTAATCCTGCAAGTTCTAAAAAACCTCGTAGCTGTTTTTGTTTTGGTATTTCTCACCTATAGTGATGCACTACAAGTGTATATAAAACAGAAAATTTTAAATCCGTTTAAGGTATATATGTATATACACACAGCATTAATGTGTCCAAGCAACCACTGAGACTGAGAAGACTTCAAAGCCAAGCACATTTAAGCATGCTACATATGAACTGACTTGAACTCCAGTATTCAAAATCTAAAATTAAGCCTCTGTTTCAGAATTAAGCCAAGAAGGATCTTACTTAAACATAAGTGTTGAATATCAACTTGAAGCCTTTCAAATATCGAATCTCTCCTTTTATGTTTTCCATCCACCTGTGTAAACAGAACATGATCATTAAGCAGGGCTAGCCACTGTAATTATAATTTTGCTCCAGGTATTGATGCCAGACCTTTTTCTTGTCAAGTCAACATCTGCACTTTTTCAACATTAAGACACCAGGATTTTTTTTTTTTTTCCTAATAAATTTGCTATTAGCAAAGTATGGAATGTAGGCAACCACACGTCCAAAACTTTTAACATTTCAAAGGCTTTATGTTATTTTTGAAGATAAAAAGCAAATACCAACAGCTTCAATGACAACAGTTTAAAAATTATACTCTGCTAATGTGACAATATCCTCTCTTACCTTGAATCTTGTAGTTGCCCTTTCCACAAGAACAAACTGAACATTTTCAACATTCTGTAAGGCAACATCAACCCAATGAGACAGCTTTCCTCGCCCAGCTCCAAACTCAACAAAACATCTTCCTGGACCAAGTAAATGTAATTTTTCCATGTTACCTAAAATAGAAGCCTACAAACATCAAAAGATTATTTACTTCACCAAACTGCAGAAGACTTTTTCAGGTCTTCCCTTCCATAAGGGACTAGGGAAAAGATCTTCTGTGTACAGAGGAAAGGGATTATACATTCTGGCTAGTCAGTATCACCCTGCCCTTCTTCCACTGCTCACAGAACTCCACCCAGGTTTCTGGAATGGAATTTTGGGATCAGGTACACATTATAACATTGTTCTCTGCTGATTCTTGAAGTAGCCATCCAAAATATTGGTACTATTCTGGATTTTCTGTGAAGCATCAAGTGCCCTCTCTGCTGCAGTTACACATTTTGTAATACATAGGAAAGTAGAGCATGGGAAGAATGTACAGAAACCAGACATTTCTCACTTTCACTTTTTCTTCACAAAACTTTCTGTTTTGCTACAGTATGCAATCCGTCTCTCTTAAAATTCCTGC